ATTTGGACGGGCAATGCGGTACGTGAGGTCGAGCCAGGCCGCCTAAGGCCCTGAGGTGGCCTGTCATCCTGCTGTGTTCAGCCCTTTATGTCTGTCTGTGGCCTTGTTATTTCGCAAGAAGCAACGTGTTTTAAAAATACCTTTACTTTTCTGCTCACGCCCTCAGAATATGTTATCCGTAATTTGACAGCATGTTACGGAAAGAAGAGTGGATTATTTCAGAGAAGAAAGTCAAACGATCAGTCTACACATCAGAAAACCCAGTTTTGAAACAGAATGTTGATTTAAGCTGTTTTGGATTTAAAAGCTGAAAAATGAAAGGACTATTAATTGAAGAGTGTATTGTCAGTGCACCGTATCAATTTCAGAGGCTAATGTGGGACTGCTAAAAACATACTTTTCCTTTTGATATAATGTGAAAGAATCTGAAAAGAACGATTAAAACTCAGACTTGATTTGTCAAGTTTTAAGCTTCAGTTTGGGGCCGATTCCGACCTGAGTTAAACTTGCTTAAATGGTACATAATTCCCTTTTCTTCATGCACTTTTCTCTCTACGTATTCTGACCTTGAACATAAGAGCGAGAACAGCATGCTATTCACCCGCTATTCGTTTGGGGTGGAGATTGAATAAATGAATGTGTGGCTACACATATGCCTTATTCTGACCTTGATTTAATTCCCTCATAATTCCACCAAGTTTACGAACGAGTGAACCTTCTGGTTCCAAGTGGAATTTTTGTTTTTGTCATTTAGCAGACGCTCATATCTAGAGCGATTTACAGGAGCAATTAGGGCGAAGTGCCTTGCTCAAGGGCACATCGACAGATTATTCACCTAGTCAGCTCAGGGATTAGAACCAGCGACCTTTCGGTTACTGGCACAACGCTCTTAACCACTAAGCTACCTACCGCCCTAATTCATCGACTGATTTTTTTCCCCGATAGAACTAACAGCTTTCTCCATGCGCTGTAATTTATAAATTGATAAGAGCTATTGATAAGAGCTATTGATAAGAGCTAGGTAAATGAGTAATCCGTTTGGCGAAGGGGATTGTAAATACACATAGCAATTGTTTTAGATCATTTTTCCTTATGATGCCTGGAGACCAATGTGAAACTAGCCATATAGAAACAAACTGAACATGATATCAACATGACATGTACTGCAGCCCTTTTTCCATAGTGAAGTAGACTACAAATAGCTGTGCCGTTATTCAGAATGTTCATTGTGTGCCCTCATCATTTACGTTGATTAAATTTGGAGCCCCAAGCTATAGGCTTCTGTAGAGCTGAACCTGCCGAGTTGATGTATGCGCTTTAGAATGTTTTAATTATATGCCCGGGCTTTTCTCCGTTTTATTTTACGATTTGTATCATGTGAAGAATTTGCCGCTATCGGGAGCCACCGTCGGTAATATCCACATACATTTATAACTGTCACTTTAGTGTTCGTTTTCTTAAATTTGCAGCTCACATTTTGCATCATTCCATTCCGTATACCTTTCTTTCCTGTGAAGAAACACACACACACAAGAACATACACACATACACACACGCACACATACAAACACGCTAGCACACGCACTCTACACACATGTACATTGTAGTAATATGATATGGTGATGTTGTACATGTTGTAGATATGTAATGGTGTTGTAATGTTATATGGTGATGTTGTACATGTTGTAGATATGTAATGGTTTAGTAATGTTATATGGTGATTTGTACATGTTGTAGATATGTAATGGTGTTGTAATGTTATATGGTGATGTTGTACATGTTGTAGATATGTAATAGTGTGTTAGTAATGTTATATGGTGATGTTGTACATGTTGTAGATATGTAATGGTTTAGTAATGTTATATGGTGATGTTGTACATGTTGTAGATATGTAATGGTGTAGTAATGTTATATGGTGATGTTGTACATGTTGTAGATATGTAATGGTGTTGTAATGTTATATGGTGATGTTGTACATGTTGTAGATATGTAATGGTTTAGTAATGTTATATGGTGATGTTGTACATGTTGTAGATATGTAATGGTTTAGTAATGTTATATGGTGATGTTGTACATGTTGTAGATATGTAATGGTTTAGTAATGTTATTGGTGATGTTGTACATGTTGTAGATATGTAATGGTGTAGTAATGTTATATGGTGATGTTGTACATGTTGTAGATATGTAATGGTGTAGTAATGTTATATGGTGATGTTGTACATGTTGTAGATATGTAATGGTGTAGTAATGTTATATGGTGATGTTCTACATGTTGTAGATATGTAATGGTTTAGTAATGTTATATGATGTACTCTTTTATTCATGTTTTGTTTTATATATAATGTGCCTTAATGCTTTTGGATCCCAGGAAGAGAAGCTGCTGACTTGGCAGCAGCTAATGGGGATCCCTAATAAATACAATAAAATACATGAATGTGGATGCTAGCATGATTACGGATAATCATGAATAAATTGGGAATAATTTAAATTGTACCTTGTTTCCAACTTGTCTTAAGTGTTGGCGGCTCAGCCAGACTAGGGTTGCAGAATTCTGGTAACTTCCCCAAAGAACTCCTGGTTGGAGGATTTCTGCTTATCCCCTTCTGGTTCCGAGAATCTTCCAACCAGGATTTCTGGACAACCAAGTTACCAGAATTTTGCAACCCTAATCCAGACAAGTCTGAATGCCCGTTAGCGTGTTATTTAGCAATGCACACCATCTCCTGACTAGCATTTTTGAATATGTAGCAATAATAATGGAAACGAATGGACCCAGCTAGCGATGCTCTCAAAAGCATAAGGTAAATCGAAATATATAGGTAAAACTTTATTTTAGATGAACAATTCTTTTAAGTGGTTATTCTATGTGGGTTGATAATACATTTTCTATTATCGGATTACCAAAGAGAATTAAACAAAAACAAAGGACGCTTCCCATCAACGCCATTTTATTAATACGCAGATAAAAATATACACATTTCAAATTCACGCTTCGGCAAATGTTCTTTAGCATCAACAACAAGCTGGCTAGCATACAAACTGTCTTTAGCATCAGCAACTGAGCCACTAATTAATAATAATAAATAGCTACGTAAAATGCAGTTCATGAGCAAACATACTGTTACAATCTTCATTACAGCAACAACCATTTACGCAAACACTGTTTTGCTCTTGTAATAATAATGACAACAACATTTTTTTTTGCTAGATTTGGCTTTTTGAGAATATTCTGTTGACATTCAAGTGGTCTGGAAATGTAAACTAATGGAAAGACTAGGGTTGCAAAATTCTGGTAACTTTCCCAAAATTCCCTGCTATTCCAGAAAAACCTGGTTGAAAGATTCCAGGAACTGGAAGGGGATAAGCAGGAAATCTGGAATCCCCCAACCAAGACCTTTTTAAAAACCTGGGAATTTTGGGAAAGTTACCAGAATTTTGCAACCCCAGGAAAGATTCTACCTGCACTTTTGCACACAAACAGTAAACAACAAGATGCAAATATACACAAATAACATGATTCATAAAGAAAGACAGATGTCTTAGAAGTGTCTTAGATAGATGACTGTAACAATACTTATATACTTTTACATACCTTTCTATATAGCATGTCTATATATACAGAGTAACACCACCATAAAAATATTATGAATATAATTAATTATATTTCTATGCACACCACATTATATATAATTATATATTTAAATTTTGCCGCACCTTGTTTTTCCCTTTTTAAGTAATAATACTTGAAGACTGTGCTGCTCCAAAACACATTGTAATACAAAATATCGTTGCTTCTTTTTTTACAGGACGACAAGCAAAGATATATATATACGTGGAACGTCAGGCAGCATCATCATCTATGATTATTTCATCGGTAACAATGAATAAAGGCCTCAACAAGCAAGTCTCTGTTGTGATGTCTTGCCTGTTCCTACACAACACTTGCAAGGTAATAGAAAACAAACAGGTATGGGAAACTAACAGGTATGGGAAACTAACAGGTATGGGAAACTAACAGGTATGGGAAACTAACAGGTATGGGAAACTAACAGGTATGGGAAACTAACAGGTATGGGAAACTAACAGGTATGGGAAACTAACAGGTATGGGAAACTAACAGGTATGGGAAACTAACAGGTATGGGAAACTAACAGGTATGGGAAACTAACAGGTATGGGAAACTAACAGGTATGGGAAACTAACAGGTATGGGAAACTAACAGGTATGGGAAACTAACAGGTATGGGAAACTAACAGTAAAGCACTATCAAGGACTAACACACTTTATCCAGAACAGTGGATAGCATTTATAACAGACTTTGCTTGATATCTAAGGCCATGGAATCAGATACGTTGTTCCTCTCGAAAAAAAATAAAACTGAAATACACAAAAAAAAACTGAACCTCCACTTACAGAATATAAACAGAATAAAAAAGTACAACACAACGAAAAAATGACAACATAACGAATCAACCAACCAACAACGGGCCAGACTCAGAGTTGAGATAAGTGTGCGCAAAAACGGTAGACTTTCGCGGAAATTGTCCTTGAAGCACACAGACCTAAACTCACAGACCTAAACTCACAGACCTAAACTCACAGACCTAAACTCTGAAATTTAAATCGGCCCGAAAATGATCAATCAATTAAAATAAGGCAAAATGACATCCATGTTTACTAAAGACACAGAAAAGTAGAGCCCCTTAGTCCCTAGTAGAAAGTCTGTTAGAGTACGTGACCCTGCTTTCGACCTCCAAGCCACTCCGGCCCAGATCCGGCTCCGGCACCAACCAGGCCATTCGGACACTGCCCCTGCCCCGGGCCACCTCCGGCCCCCTGGCTCTGCCCCTACCCTGGCTCGTCCTCGTTCGGCCCCAGCCCAGGGGGCCGACGTGCTGCTAGAGGGTAGTGATCTGGGTGAGCTCCGTGTTGGAGTTCCCTGTCCCTTGGTGGTGGTTGTTCTGGGGCTCCTGGCAGACCAGGGGCAGCTCCACGCCTAGTCATGCGGGGTTCATATTCCCGTCCGCCGTTTTGCAGTTGTAGGCAACCTCGCGGGCGATGCTTCTCATCCGACCCGACTGCTGCCGGCTGTCCAGGCGGAACGGACCCGGGTGGCAGAACTCTCTGAAGCACCTCTTGAAGTTCTCGTCCAGGAAGGCGTAGAGGACTGGGTTGAGACTGCTGTTGACGTAGCCCAGCGCGATACAGAAGTGCATCAGGGCCATCGTGAGGAGGCTACCCAGGTTGAAGCCCAGCAACTGGGCCAGAGCCATGATCTGGATGGGGGTCCAGCAGACCACGAAGGCCACCACTACGACCAGGACCATGCGGGTGATGCGGCGCAGATTACGATCCCTCTCCTTGGAGCCGGACAGGATGCGGACGCTGCGAAGGCGATTGACCATCAGGCTGTAGCAGACACTGATGATGGTAACTGGGATGAGGAAGGAGAAGAGGAAGACGCAGGTGCCGAACACCGGGTCCCAGTAGGTATGAGGGTCTGGGAGGACTATGTTACACTCTACACCTGGGAGGGAGACAGGACAGAGGGTTAGGGTTAGAAACAGGACATAGGGGTTAATGTTAGGGTTGGACATAGAGGTTAGGGTTGGACATAGGGTCCCAGTAGCTATGTGGGTCTGGGAGGACTATGTTACACTCTATACCTGGGAATGTACAAGTCCTAACTCAGTTGCCGGAGAGGAAGGAAACCGCTAAGGGATTTCACCATGAGGCCAATGGTGACTTTAAAACAATTACAGAGTTTAATAGGATAAAACTGAGTATGGATCAACAACATTGTTGTTACTTCACAATACAAAGTGAAAAGAAGGAAGCATGTACAGAATAAAAATATTCCAAAACATGTATCCTGTTTGCAACAAGGCACTAAAGAAAAACTGCAAAAAATGTGGCAAAGAAATTAACTTTCTGTCCTGAATACAAAGCGTTAGGTTTGGGGAACTTCCAACACAACACATCATTGAGTACCACTCTTCATATTTTCAAGCATGGTGGTGGCTGCATCATGTTATGGGTATGCTTGTCATCGGCAAGGACTAGGGAGCTTATCTTTAGGATAAAAATGAATGGAACAGAGCTAAGAACAGGCAAAATCCTAGAGCAAAACCTGGTTCGGTCTGCTTTCCAACAGACAATGGGAGACAAATTCACCTTCAGCAGGACAATAACTTAAAACACAAGGCCAAGACGACATTGTATGTTCCTGAGTGGCATAGTTACAGTTTTGACTTAAATCGGCTTGGAAATCTATGGCACGTCTTGGAAGTGGCTGTCTAGCAATGATCAACAACCAACCTGACACAGCTTGAAGAATATTTAAAATAATAATGTGCAAATATTGTACAATCCAGGTGTGAAGGGCTCTTAGAGACTTACCCAGAAAGACTCACAGCTGTAATCGCTGCCAAAGGTCATTCTAACATGTATTGACTCAGGGGTGTGAATACTTATGTAAATTACATATTTCTGTATTTCATTTTCAATATATTTGCTAACATTTCTCTAAAAACACATGTTTTCACTTTGTCATTATGGGGTATTGTGTGTAGATGGGTGAGAAAAAAAAATCTATGTAATCCATTTTGAATTCAGGCTGGAACAACAACACAATGTGGAACAAGACAAGGGGTATGAATACTTTCTGAAGGCAGTGTAGCTATCAACAAGGACAAGAAGCTGCCATGTGGGGAATCGTAGCTTGCTCGTTTTAGCGCGTTTTATCTTGTTCTTGATACCATGTCTTGTTTGACTGTCACGTCTAATGCTAATATGGATAAAAATTGCTAGCTAGCTAACCAACAACTGTAATGATGCATTTGAGAGACAACAAGTGCTCATTGTGCAAATTTATTTATGTTTTCAATAAACATTTGGAGACGAAATATAGTTAAAATATTGTCAACAATCTAAGCCAGCCCCGTCAGTTTTAACCCATAGTTGTGCAGGCGTCAGTTTTATTGCTAAACAACCAACCCGTCTATAGGTCAGAGGGATTAATATAGTATAAGGATTGAGAGGACAGAATAATCCAATCAAACAAATCACTGCTAAGAATCCAATCTCTTTGAAAACAAATCAAATCAAATTGTATTTGTCACATACATGTGTTTAGCAGATGTAATATCTAACAATTTCACAACATATACCCAAATACACACAATCTAAGTAAGGAATGGAATTTAAGAATATATACATATATACCTATATGGACAAGCAATGCCAGAGCGGCAAGGACTAAGATACAGTAGAATATTATAGAATACAGTATATACATATGAGATGAGTCATGCAAGATATGTAAACATTATTCAAGTGACTAGTGTTCCATTTCTTAAAGTGGCCAGTGATTTCAATAGGCAGCAGCAGCCTCTAATGTGCTAGTGATGGCAAATGAACAGTCTGATGGCCTTGAGATAGAAGCTGTTTTTCATTCTCTCGGTCCCAGCGTTGATGCACCTGTACTGACTTCGCCTTCTGGATGATAGCGGGGTGAAAAGGCAGTGGCTCGTGTGGTTGATGTCCTTGATGATCTTTTTGGCCTTCCTGTGACATCGGGTGCTGTAGGTGTCCTTGAGGGCGGGTAGTTTGCCTCCGGTAATGCGTTCGGCAGACCGCACCACCCTCTGGAGAGCCCTGCAGTTGCGGGTGGTGCAGTTGCCGTACCAGGCGATGATACAGCCCGACAGGATGCTCTCAATTGTGCATCTGTAAAAGTTTGTGAGGGTTTTTAGGTGCCAAGCCAAATTTCTTCAGCCTCCTGAGGTTGAAGAGGCGCCTTCTTCACCACACTGTCTGCATGGGTGGACCATTTCAGTTTGTCAGTGATGTATACGCCAAGGCACTTGAAGCATTCCACCTTCCCCACTGCTGTCCCGTCAATGTGGATAGGGGCGTGTTCCCTCTGCTGTTTCCTGAAGTCCACGATCATCTCCTTTGTTTTGTTGACGTTGAGTGAGAGGTTATTTTCCTGGCACCACACTCCCGGATCCCTCACCTCCTCCCTGTAGGCGGTCTCGTCATTGTTGGTAATCAAGCCTATTACTTTTGTGTCAGCTGCAAACTTGATGATTGAGTTGGAGGCGTGCTTGGCCACGCAGTCATGGGTGAACAGGGAGTACAGGAGGGGGCTGAGCACGCACCCTTGTGGGGCCCCAGTGTTGAGGATCAGCGAAGTGGAGATGTTGTTTCCTACCTCCACCACCTGGGGGCGGCCCGTCAGGAAGTCCAGGACGCAGTTGCACAGGGCGGGGTTCAGACCCAGGGCCTCAAGCTTAATGATGAGCTTGGAGGGTACTATGGTGTTGAATGCTGAGCTATAGTCAATGAACAGCATTCTGACGTAGGTTTTCCTCTTGTCCAGATGGGATAGGGCAGTGTGCAGTGTGATGGCGATTGCATCGTCTGTGGATCTATTGGGGCGGTAAGCAAATTGAAGTGGGTCTAGGGTGACAGGTAAGGTAGAGGTGATATGATCCTTGACTAGTCTCTCAAAGCACTTCATGATGACAGAGGTGAGTGCTATGGGGCGATAGTCATTTAGTTCAGTTACCTTTGCTTTCTTGGGTACAGGAACAATGGTGGCCATCTTGAAGCATGTGGGGACAGCAGACTGGGATAGGGAGAGATTGAATATGTCCGTAAACACACCAGCCAGCTGGTCTGCGCATGCTCTGAGGACGCGGCTAGGGATGCCGTCTGGGCCCGGCAGCCTTGCGGGGGTTAACACGCTTAAACGTCTTACTCACGTCGGCTACGGAGAAGGAGAGGCCACAGTCCTTGGTAGTGGGCCGCATCGGTGGCACTGTGTTATCCTCAAAGCGGGCGAAGAAGGTGTTTAGCTTGTCTGGAAGCGAGACCGACGTGGCTGGATTTCCTTTTGTAGTCCGTGATTGTCTGTAGACCTCGTGTCACAGGTCCCGTAGACATATGGAATGACTCTATTGTGGATGAGCTTTCATTCACAAAATGATTCAACACAGGAATAAATTCCATCACACAATCCAAAATAAACACAGTCATTCTGTTTTTCCCTCCCTCAAAGTATAATCACTTTATCTCTGACATTTGATCTGACATTTCCACAGCCTGCCTTTCAAAACTGCCTCTAAAACTGATCAGCTGAGAACTCTGACAGTCCTGTAGCTCTTTAATACAAAACTAAATTCAGTTCAGTGGAATTGTTTTTAACAAACCCTGGCAGCTGAAGGGAGCAATCCTGAACTTCAAAAGACGATTTTTTAAAGTTTATATTTAAAAAAAAGAAACACTTGTCTTTGGTATTTAGAAGAAACCTCTTTCTTTCTCTCTGTTGTGATTATGACACTCTCCCCCAGTTCAAAGCCTCTATCTAGTCTGCGTCCCAAAAGGTAGCAGGGTGCTATTTGGGACACAGGCCCTAATCTACAGTATATTACATTAAACATGTGTTCCAACTCCGTAATGCTGAGAGTTCATCTGAACCTGAATGTCTTTTTACCCTTTAGGATTATAATTAACTACATAGGCTGATAAGCACATCAGGTGCAGTAAATGAATATGATCATGAGTCAGTGTCCCAGCTGCTGGTTTTGTTCCATGAGGCCTTTCCTTTCTTTTAATTTTTTAAAATATTTTTTATATACGTTTTCTTTTTCGTCACCATCTGAACAAATCATTTATCTGCTTGGACTGGCCAACCAAGAGGTCAAGACGGAGCTGGCCCTGGACCTAAGGTAAGGTAGCTGTCTCCTGGCTACAGACATTAAACACCTAGTTAGGTTACAGACCAGTTAACTAGGGGTTCTACTAAGCTATATGGAATTGTTTTAAGAATGTCATACCAAGGATCATTTAGCTATTTGATTTAGAATTGTAAGACCCCTAGACTAAGCAAGTGCAGCAATATTAGCAGGTTTGTTAACCCGCTACAGTCTGAGCTCTGTCTAAGACGGGGGGAGGGGGTTCTACTAAGCTATATGGAATTGTTTTAAGAATGTCAAACCGAGGATAATTTAGCTATTTGATTTAGAATTTTAAGACCCATTGAAGTATCAAACAAATATATATAAAAAATGTTTGATGAATATTTTAATTTTCCCTTACTGCTATTAGCCCATACAAACACATTGAATAACAGATTCACTACATGGAACAACAGATAGTCCTTACTGCTATTAGCCCATACAAACACATTGAATAACAGATTCACTACATGGAACAACAGATAGTCCTTACTGCTATTAGCCCGTACAAACACATTGAATAACAGATTCACTACATGGAACAACAGATAGTCCTTACTGCTATTAGCCCATACAAACACATTGAATAACAGATTCACTACATGGAACAACAGATAGTCCCCCCAAAAAATCTAAAGGAAGTTTGTTCGGAAGTGTCTGTCCTATATCTGAGAGATATAAGAAAGATCAGGAAACATTTGTAATTGTTTTATTTACATGCATTTAAACCCTTATTTTTTGGCAGTAAACGTTCTTCAAATATAATTTCATCGTTTTTTTCAACTGGTACCGGAGGACCTTCAGACGAGTCGTGAGGCATGTGGGCGTCCTAGAGCAAAACAACCGACAGGTACGTGTTCGTGAGAGTCTCACCTTTCGGACGCTACAGATAGAAGTTGGCAGATCGTCTGTACCGACATCAGACGAGTCCCAAGACGCTTGTGGGGGTCGTAGAGAAAAACGGAGAACACCGTCGTGTTCTTGAGAGTCTCAAATCGATTTTCAGGTTGTCTCATGGTCTGACAAACACCGCTCTAGTTCTGTCACCTTTCACCTAAGATGCGGAAGTGCAACATCATCGGATGCGGTGGATTGAGACGCATCTAGCTTAAATTGACAGATTATTATGGGGATTTTTTATTATGCTAATTCGATTTCCGAGGGGGAATGGACATCGACACTAAGAGGTTTTAAAAACGTGAATTTAGTCAACAAAAATAGGGACAGAAATATTGACGAGACTATAACTGATTAAATAGACCCAGAAAAAACTTTAACTAAACGCAAATTATTTTTAATTTCAGTTGACTAAAACAAGACCAGATTTTTTTTTTCTCTGTTACTAAAATCTGACTACTAAGTGGACTGGACAAGAGTTTTTGGAGAGATTGAGAGCTTTTCAGTGATAAACACAATTAATATTAGCAGTACAGATGCGCAGTTCTGACCAGCAGTGGGAAGGACGCATCACACCCAGCAAACACAGCCTACATCAGCTGGTGATGAGTGTGGGCAGACAGGCTCCGCCTCCGATGATACACATCGTGCAGGCGACTCTCTTGCTTGCTTCCCCGTGGCTAAACAGTCACCACCAGCCTTTTAGTAAGCTATCATTTGCCTGGTTAAGAAACACAAGCTGCTTTACAAAATTAAAAACAATAGCAGCATTGAGTTTAATAGTAAAACAACAGTCTAGCTATGTTTTTCTCTCCCTTGAGTAGGCTATAGAAAAGTAGTTTGCCTTTGAATTTGTAGTCTCGCTCAACCCTCCCACTTTTCCCACTGTCTCTGTTTGTTATTTGCTGAACTGAACATACATTTTAATATCCAGTGCCTGCTCAAAGTCCACTTTACATTGGGAAGTGAAATCTATGAATCAATTATCTTAGTGTCGTGAGACTTTCAGGAATGACTCACAGGGTATGACATACTGATCCCATGGATAAACAGCACAGCTTGGTAAAGCCGGATATGTGATATTTTTATTTCAACAGAGTCTGCTAACACTTCAAGGAACAGGAACATTCTCCCTTGAGAGCTACAGTTAACCCCCCCTCTCTCTCCCCAACCCCCTCTCTTTCCCCACCCTCTCTCTCTTTCCCCACCCCCTCTCTCTCTCCCCACCCCCCTCTCCCTGCTCTCCCTCTCTCTCTTCCTCCATCTCCTGTTCTCTCTCTCTCCTCTCTCTCCCTCCCCCTCTCTCTATCTCTCTCTTCTCTCTCCCTCCCCCTCTCTCTTCTCTCTCCCTCCCCCTCTTAATCTCTCTCTTCCCCATCTCTTTCCTCTGCCCCCCCTCTCTCTCCTCTCTCTCCTCTCTCCTCTCTCTCTCTCTCTCGTCTCTTCTCTTCTCTCTCCTCTCTCTCTCTCTCTCTCTCCTCTCTCTCTCTCTTCTCTCTCTCTATGTCTCTCTCTCTCTCTCTCTCTCCCCCCTCTAATCTCTCTTCCCCCATCTCTTCCTCTGTCTCCCCCCCTCTCTCTCTCCCTCCCCCCTCTTAATCTCTCTCTTCCCCATCTCTTTCCTCTGTCTCCCCCTCTCCTCTCTCTCTCTCTCTCTCTCTATCTGCGCTCTTTCATTTAATTGTTGGCAACCCTCTCATCCCTGCAAAAGGGAGCGTTATCTCACCAGAGCTCTGTCATTTAGAAAAGCCTTATTGGAATCCATTTCTCATCTCTCTGTGTCTTCCCACTCAGAGCAGAGTGACCTGTTCGGTTGACACACACACACACACACACACACACACGCACGCACGCATACACACAGGGGTCTGTCTCATGGCGTCTGCTCTGCTTGTTACTGGGCTCAATACCCCGTCGCCAGGCACCAATCATCTCAACATCGGTTAGGGTCCATCACTCCATCCCTCCCCCCCTCCATCCCTCCAGGGGTAAAAAAAACTCTCCATCGCCATCACCACTCTGGAGAAAATACTAACTTATATTAACTATAAGATGTAATTGATATGATGTACTCTGCGGATGTTGTAGAGCATGAACCCAGCCAACAGACAGTTACAGTAGTCCAGACTGGAGATGACAAGTGCCTGGATTAGGACCTGCACTGCTTCCTGTGTGAGGAAAGGATGTTATAGAGCGTGAACCTAGCAGGAGTGAGTCAGATATTATGGCATTTAAAAATACATTACATTATTTTACAGTAAAGTATATCACAGTACATATGTCATACATGCACTGTATACCAACGTAAATATGTCATACAGATGATATACTGTGTCAGTATATGTTTACTGTAAAATAATGTAATTGCATTTTTAAATGGCATAATATCTGACTCACTCTTACAGGTTCAGGGAGAACCCAGTCCCTATTGGGCTCAGGGAGAACCCAGTCCCTGTAGGGCTCAGAGAGAACTCATAAATTATTCACAAGAATATATTAAGACACTGAATTAAACTTTAGGCTGGGAGAGGTGCCAGTTTGAGAAGAGGAAAGGAGAGGTGCCAGATAACTAGAAAAACAAATATAACTTTTCTGTTCCAGACTGCAGAGTGAGAGAGGGTTGCAGCTAAAGATGGATTGTCTGCTAACAAGCCTAGCTTTGGGTAAAGAGGGATTGTCTGCTAATAAGCCTAGCTTTGGGTAAAGAGGGATTGTCTGTTTTTTATATTTTTTTATTTAACCTTTATTTAACTAGGCAAGTCAGTTAAGAACAAATTAATAATAATATTATATATTATTATTATTATTATTAAGAACAAATTCTTATTTACAATGACGGCCTACCCCAGCCAAACCCGGACGAGCCTAGCTTTGGTTAAAGAGGGATTGTCTGCTAACAAGCCTAGCTTTGGGTAAAGAGGGATTGTCTGCTAATAAGCCTAGCTTTGGGTAAAGAGGGATTGTCTGCTAATAAGCCTAGCTTTGGGTAAAGATGGATTGTCTGCTAATAAGCCTAGCTTTGGGTAAAGAGGGATTGTCTGCTAATAAGCCTAGCTTTGGGTAAAGAGGGATTGTCTGCTAATAAGCCTAGCTTTGGGTAAAGAGGGATTGTCTGCTAATAAGCCTAGCTTTTGGTAAAGAGGGATTGTCTGCTAATAAGCCTAGCTTTTGGTAAAGATGGATTGTCTGCTAATAAGCCTAGCTTTTGGTAAAGAGGGATTGTCTGCTAATAAGCCTAGCTTTTGGTAAAGAGGGATTGTCTGCTAATAAGCCTAGCTTTGGGTAAAGATGGATTGTCTGCTAATAAGCCTAGCTTTGGGTAAAGAGGGATTGTCTACTATCAAATCAAAATCAAATCAAATCAAATTTTATTGGTCACATGCGCCGAATACAACAGGTGCAGACATTACAGTGAAATGCTTACTTACAGCCCTTAACCAACAGTGCATTTATTTTAAACAAAAAAGTAAGAATAAAACATCAACAAAAAAGTGTTGAGAAAAAAAGAGCAGAAGTAAAATAAAGTGACAGTAGGGAGGCTATATATACAGTAAAATAAAGTGACAGTAGGGAGGCTATATATACAGGGGGGTACCGTTGCATAGTCAATGTGCGGGGGCACCGGCTAGTTGAGGTAGTTGAGGTAATATGTACATGTGGGTAGAGCCTAGCTTTGGGTAAAGAGGGATTGTCTGCTAACAAGCCTAGCTTTGGGTAAAGAGGGATTGTCCGCTAACAAGCCTAGCTTTGGGTAAAGAGGGATTGTCTGCTAATAAGCCTAGCTTTGGGTAAAGAGGGATTGTCTGCTAAAGAGCCTAGCTTTTGGTAAAGAGGGATTGTCTGCTAATAAGCCTAGCTTTGGGTAAAGAGGGATTGTCTGCTAATAAGCCTAGCTTTGGGTAAAGAGGGATTGTCTGCTAAAGAGCCTAGCTTTTGGTAAAGAGGGATTGTCTGCTAATAAGCCTAGCTTTGGGTAAAGAGGGATTGTCTGCTAATAAGCCTAGCTTTGGGTAAAGAGGGATTGTCTGCTAACAAGCTTAGTTTTGGGTAAAAAGGGATTGGCTGCTAACAAGGGGACAAATACCCCCCAACCAGACCTTCTGGCATACAAATTGTAATTGTAAACAACAGAAACCAAACGTGTTGAGCTACAGGTAAACTAAGCCGCCTCAGGCTGTGGTTGGTACAATGGTTGGGGAAGCACTGGTTTGTCCGAACCGCCTCAGGCTGTGGTTGGTACAATGGTTGGGGAAGCACTGGTTTGTCCAAACCGCCTCGGGGCTGTGGTTGGTACAATGGTTGGGGAAGCACTGGTTTGTCCGAACCGCATCAGGCTGTGGTTAGTGCAATGGTTGGGGAAGATCTGGTTTGTCCAAACCGCCTCGGGCTGTGGTTGGTACAATGGTAGGGGAAGCACTGGTTTGTCCAAACCGCCTCGGGGCTGTGATTGGTGCAATGGTTGAGGAAGCACTGGTTTGTCCAAAGCCAAACCAGCGGATAAGCCTGTACAGCCATGAACTGAAATCTGTAAAACACAGCTACACAAAGGCCTGGACCAGGAACCCAGAACAGTCCTGGGTCAGATATCAATTCAATCTAAATGGGACATACAGTAAGGGAAAAAAGTATTTGATCCCCTGCTGATTTTGTACGTTTGCCCACTGACAAAGACATGATCTGTCTATAATTGAATGGTAGGTTTATTTGAACAGTGAGAGACAGAATAACAACAAAAAAATCCAGAAAAACGCATGTCAAAAATGTTATAGATTGATTTGCATTTTAATGAGGGAAATAAGTATTTGACCCCCTCTCAATCAGCAAGATTTCTGGCTCCCAGGTGTCTTTTATACAGGTAACGAGCTGAGATTAGGAGCACACTCTTAAAGGGAGTGCTCCTAATCTCAGTTTGTTACCTGTATAAAAGACACCTGTCCACAGAAGCAATCAATCAATCAGATTCCAAACTCTCCACCATGGCCAAGACCAAAGAGCTCTCCAAGGATGTCAGGGACAAGATTGTAGACCTACACAAGGCTGGAATGGTCTACAAGACCATCGCCAAGCAGCTTGGTGAGAAGGTGACAACAGTTGGTGCGATTATTCGCAAATGGAAGAAACACAAAAGAACTGTCAATCTCCCTTGGCCTGGGGCTCCATGCAAGTTCTCACCTCGTGGAGTTGCAATGATCATGAGAACGGTGAGGAATCAGCCCAGAACTACATTTACATTCCACCAGCAGATCATTCGTGTCCGTGTCTAACGTTGTGTAGAGTTTTGGGTTAGTTTTGACAGTTTGAGTGAGTACGTCGTCAACTTATTCAGCCAGTTAGTTAGCTAGAATAGTTATCATACTAGCTAGCCATTGCTCTCAGCCAACGAACCAAACCCTCCTCCCACGGCACGAACACACAGAGAGAGCCAAGCTAACGTTAACTAGTCACCCATGTCCCAAATTCCCTTGAACGGCTCTGGTTACCAGTATGTAAAAACAAAACACAAATGTAAGTTATAACTTACCCTTAGTAGCTACTGTTAGCCAGTTAAGTGCAAAGCTAGCCACTGAATCGATTCAGCCAGTTTCGTCTGTCCCAACGGAGAGAAAGCGTCTCCAAATATTAAAGCTAGGTCGTTCCAGCTATTGTTTAGTTAGCTATCCAGGTAGCAACAAGCTAGCTACATTTCGAGTACAGTAGCTACTAACTACCTAACGTTAACACTTCAGATAATGAGGTTAAAAAAACAGCTGAATGGTAGGCAGCTAGCTGGCATAATTACAGGTACTCTTAAGCGTGAAATAACATTGGAAACAACTATCCACAGTTGCTAATAGTTACCAGTAGCTACCCGCTAGCTAGTCCAGGTAGTGGGTTAGCTAGCCTCGTGCTTCACCGGGCTCAGCCGAATACCATACTTACCTACAATAATTACCTACAATAACCTACGATAACTACCTAGATAAACTACCTGCAATACCTAACTACAATACCTACAATCTAAATACAAGGTTTAAGCTTTACTCGACACCATATAAGCCAAGCTTACCTCCCGCCAGAGAGAGACACAACCTCACCCAACGCCTCCTATCCTTTATTAAACTGGAGTGCTGAGGCCAATGGAGGATGGGAGGATCTTGTCAAAGATCTCAAGGCAGCTGGGACCATGGTCACCAAGAAAACAATTGGTAACACACCACGCCTGTCACGGATGCCGCCGAGGCTGCTCCTCCTCCTTGCTCGGGCAGGCTTCGGCGTTCGTCGTCC